TGTCTCTCTCAGGAAATCATTATTAAGCAGTGCATGTTGGTTATTCCGTGCCAGGACTAGGTACTGGACTACTGGTGTTGAGCTGGTGTTAAATCAGATCTAGGGAGTGACAGAATTGCAAGCAACATGTATAATTGACCTACCAATCTATTTACAATATCAAATACAATATCTCTCAAGGATTCACAATATGTTATAAATTAGTAAAGTTATAAATTATTAATGATTCAAAGTGCAAATGAGTGAAAAATGTTAAAATTCTCCCAAATAATAAGAATGGTAACCATTCTTATACTATAGTAAAATAATATTGTAAAAATCTTTAGGCCTAGTGTTCCTGGAATAAAGTATGCACTTTTGTGATTTTTAGAAAATAGAGATATTAAGGAATGACATGAGCCAAAAATATTCTAAAATTGAAACAATTTTTTGTTTTAGCCTGCTCGCTATATCTGATTCTCTCTTTAACACTATCTTGAGCATATTTTGAGCTATTTAGGGCAATCGTGCGATAATTTAGGACCGTTTCCCCTGGCCCTATACACTGTCCTGGCCGCGATAACATGTTGGTATTTTTAGGATAGTTTCATAATGCACCCGAGCAGTAATTTCTAATAGAGTCACATCAGCTATGGCTTCATAAGAAACTGAACAATGTCATCTTCTAACATGTAAATGAGTGATCTGATCATGTGTGAATCAAGCATCAGCACTTAGGCTAAACCATCCTGGCAGATCCGGGGGGGGGGTTGAGTTTGGAAAATTGAGCCCCTAAAACCAAAAATCATTTTTTGATAAATTGGCAAAAAAGGCCAATGGCCAATACTCGGGGTGGAAGGTGTGAGAATTGTGCAAAAAATGACTTTGTGAGCTGGATGGAGTTTCTCTGTATTTTTCATTCTATTAGGGTTTCCTGCATAAGGGATTTCGCCTGCGAAGCATATAACTCTTGCGAACATATCTAAATATTGGTCCGAGGAAGACATACCTTGAATTTTTTAGAAAAAAATTGGCTAAAAATGGAAACTACAAAAAGTCAAAATGTTCAACTCAAGCAAAACCCTAGCTATCTAATATTAACACTATGTATTATTTAATGTTTTTCAGATGTTTAAGGACCTTCATTAGTGTACTAGTGTCTAGAAATAAGATAATTAAGGACAAAATTTGTCATTTTTGATCATTTTCGCTTTCAGCAGTAACATATAGTTCCTTATATCTTGAGTTTAATGTTGACTGGTTGTTGCAATTTTGATTAAATCTGTGCTTGTACATGTCTTCTTCCATTTGAGATACAAAAAATGTATATTGGACCACCAATGGTCATATTAGAGCTTTCAGATCTCCCCTACCCCATTTATTATGAAAAATTACTGAAACATATGAAAATATAAAATAACTTGAATTTATAAACTTTAACTATGTTGTAGCTATTCTATATCAATATTATGTATTATTTAATGTTTTTCAGATATTTCAGAACCTTTATTGGTATACTAGTGCCTAGAAATGAGACATTTAAGGACAAAACTTGGCATTTTTTAAAATCATTTTAGCTTTCAGCAGTAACATATAGTTCCTCATATATTGAGTTTTATGCTTACTGGTTGTTGCAATTGTAATAAAATCTGTTTTTGTAGATGTCTTCTTCCATTTAAGGTATAGAAAATGTATAGTGGACCACCAATGGTCATATTAGAGCTTTCAGATCTCCCCTACCCCATTTATCATGAAAAATATAAGAAAAATATGAAAATATAAAATAACTTGAAACTATAAACTTTAATAAAGTTGTAGCTATTCTATATCAATATTGAACAAATATTTCACTCTATTGAGGTGAATACCTGTACATCTTTCACAAGTGATATTCCACGAAGCCCGAAGGGCAAGTGGAATATCACCTTGTGAAAGTGCTACAGGTATTCACCGAAAATAGAGTGAAATATTTGTTTTATTATATCACTGTCTAGCTAAACATCCCTAATATTATTAAGTCATTAAGTCTTCAGATATTTTTACGAATCTACTCGGTTCGTCTGCCATTTTGACTTAAACTGAACTAAATTATTTACACTGAACGAAAACAAATTCTTTGAAAATTCCCGGGAGCGTGGGATATCGCTAGATATCTCACGGTTGTCTTATCTGATTAGCATTGCCATTGAATATCGCCAGATGTCCCACGACATGTGACCCGGTTTTGACCAATCATACTGTCGCTAGCTAGATAGTGATATAATAATATGTGTTATTTAATGTTTTTAAGATATTTCAGAACCTTTATTGGTAAACTAGTGCCTAGAAATGAGACATTTAAGGACAAAACATGGCTTTTTTGACCATTTTCGCTTTCAGCAATACCATATAGGTCCTTATATCTTGAGTTTAATGCTGACTGGTTGGTGCATTCTTAGTCAAATTTGTTCTTGTACATGTCTTCTTCCATTTAGGATATAGAAAATGTATATTGGACAACCAATGTTGATATTATAGCTTTCATGTCTCCCCTGCCCCATTTATGTAAATGAAAAAGTAATTTCAAATCATCAACTTTAACAAAATTGTAGCTGTTCTCTATCGATACTATGTATTATTTAATGTAACCTTCATTTGATTACATGTGTCTAAAATTTGGCATTTTTAGCATTCTGCATTTAGCAGTAGCATATAATTTTCCACAATTATAATTCTTTGATGATAGATTCATATATGTTTTTTATTGAATCTGTCTTCTCTGATTTAACTTAAAGAAAATGTATGTAAGACAATGAATGTTTTTATTAGAGGTCTAAGATCTGCCCTCCACCATTAAATGAGAAAACCAACACAAATGTTATTATTGCATGATAATATTCTTAAACTTTTCAAAAATTTAGCATATTTATTAGCACACTAAAATCAAAAAATGACACATAAATGGGCAAAATGACCAATGTTTCACTTTCAGCAATAGTTGTTTATATTTTTAGTTGAATGGTGATTAGTTGACATATTTTAGATCATATATACTGTATTCAACAATGTGTCTTGTTATCTTCAAAGCATGGAAAATGTGTTTTAAACACAAATATACATAT